CTAGTTTCCAAACGGATAAAGATGATTATTGATCGCAGTTAAGGTTTGTATTTTGTCTTAATAAGGGTGTAGTGAGCTGGAAGAGCTCCAAGGAAAGCACTATAGTGGACTCTACAATGGAGGCTGAGTATATTGCATTATCCGATGCGACCAAGGAGGCAGTCTGGATTAAGAAGTTTTTCACTGAACATGGTGTGGTTTACATCATTGTTGATCCGATAGATGTCTATTGTGACAACAATGGAGCAATTGCTCAAGCAAAGTGTAACGCCCCACTTGAGGTACGTAGCTAATTTATGTTGCATTGTTTGAATGTTTATTGTTTTGCTCTCAATTGAGTTTGTATGTTGTTATTTTTGGTTGGTTGGCCCTTTGTTGAATTGATGTGTTGGTTTGGTGGAGTGTTTGCCCTGAAATTGGTGAAGTCTTGCAGAATTTTGGAAGTGCAGACTTCGCCGCGGCGATGTAGCCCTTGTATTTCTTCGTCGGGGCGAAGAAAGAAACTTTGCCACTGCGAAGCTCCGGCAGAAAAGTTGGGTGAAGTTTCTAGAGAATTTTCCATAGGGACAAAGTGACCATTCTACCCCTAATTAGCAAGAAAAGTGGGGAGTGAAATGTAAGAAAATTTCATGGAGAATGTGTTAGAGTTGGGGGTGTTAGTGCAAGGAATTAAAGGACAAAGATGGAATTTCCAAGAAAGAGCAAGGACAAAATGGGAATGTATGTGTAAATTATGAGCTAATAAGGGTTTGAGTTTAGTAAACCCTTCATTTCATCACTTCTACCGCCATTCCCATTCATCATTTCCTCTCAACTCTTCATTAACTCTTTCAAGGATTTTAAAAGGGCCTTTTGAGTAGTTTGGGTAGAGAATTAATCTAAAGCATCCTAAGGTAAGGATTCTTGCTTTAGATGTGAAGTTTTGCTTATACATATATATATATATATTGAAGTCTTATGGTAGTATTATTTAAAGTTGTAGAGAAGAGACAAGCTACCAAAGGAAAGGAGAAGTGTTAGTAAAATCTCTCCATCACAAGGTAAGTAAATCCAACCCAAGTTAAGTTTTAAGAAATCTTTGAGTAGAGATTTTCTTTATGCATGTATGTAATATGCTTGTTGAGAATTGGGATGAGATGAGTTAATAATTGATGATTGGTTGGATATATGTAAATGATGAGAAGTATTTGATGTGTGAAGAGAGAGTGAAGTTGAGTTGAAGTTGGAGAGGTTTTGTGTAAACCTTTGTGGGAGTGTTTTCCTTGACAGGAATTATGGCTATATGAGAGAGAGTGAAGTTGAGTTGAAGTTGGAGAGGTTTTGTGTAAACCTTTGTGGGAGTGTTTTCCTTGACAGGAATTATGGCTATATGAGAGAGTTTTCTCCCACTTTGGATGGTTAAAGAAAAGAGTAGAGTTGTAGATAAAGTAGAGTTTTTGTATGCACATGAGTTGTTTGATGAAATGCCTAAGAGAAATATGAGCATGAGTAATAAACATAAATTCTTGCAACATTGCATATTGGCATTTCATGAGTGTATTAATGAGCATGAACTATCCATATGCATTAAATTGTGCATTGAGAAGTAACTTGAGAAAGAGTAGAGAATTTTGAGAATAAGCAACTCTAAGAGTAAAGAGAATGAGAAAACTCTAAGAGTACAGAGAATGAGAAAACTCTAAGAGTAAAGAGAAAGAGGGATTTAGCACTAGAGAATAAAAGAGAGTGTAGTGCTAAAGAAGAGAAGAGAATAGAGTAGGTTATGCGATGGGGAACCCGTGAGTGATGAGTAAAGTCACGAAGAGTGGAACATTAGGTTCCAGCCGTGCCTTCGGTTAGATGGGGCCGTAACAGTCACGAAGAGTAGAGCGTCAGGTTCTAGTCGTGCCTCCGATTAGATGGGGCCGTGATATGCAAAAAGAGAGAGAATACACTCACGAGGCCAAGGGTTTCAAATCCATGCGTAACCGAGTCCGATCGGTAGAGAAATGAATAGAAGTCACGAAGAATGGGTTAGTGCTTTGTGAACTCCACCCGGCCGTGCCTCCGGTAAGATGCGGCCATGCCTCCGGTAAGATGCGGCCGTGACATTCAAGTGAGAAAATATGAGAAAATATGAGAAAGAATAGAGAGAGAGAATGAGTAGAGTCACGAAGAGTGGGATGAGTACCCAGCCGTGCCTCCGGTAAGATGAGGTCATGACACATAACAGAAAGTTAATAGAAAAGAGCTATGAGAAAGAGAAACAGAAAGAGAAAATGCATGAGAAGAGAAGAGTGTAAGGAAAGAATTAAGAGAAAGAGTTACAGGGATAGACGAGTAGAGGATTTACTTACTGAGCATTACTATGTGCTCACCCCATTGTTTTCTTTGTGTTTACAGGATCTAGGTGAGGACGCGGTTGGATGGGCGTCGGCAAGCGAGGAGCAATAGCTATATTGTCTACTATTTTAATGACTTTTTTTTGTAAATGATGCTCTATCTTGAATAAAGAATGTCTATATGTAATAAAAGAAAATTTTTGGTCCCATCTACTTTTACTACAATATATGAATTTCATTAGATATATTTCTATGAGTATTCTAGTATAAAGGAGTTATTACACAAAGGAACCACGGTCTCACCAGAAGTCCAGACACATACTCAGACGTCTTCATCTCATCAGAAAAATGGTTGAGAGGAAAGATGTACAGATCAGTAAAGTGCATACTGATGAAAATCTTGCTGATCCACTGACGAAGCCTCTATCTCAACAAAAGCATGAAAAACACTTAAGGTCATTTGGTATTAAATACATGAATGATTGGCTATAGTGCAAGTGGGAGATTGTTAGAGTAGGTGCCCTAGAGCCAATCAATTATTGTAAAATTGACTCTGTAATAAACATTTATTTATCAATAAAAGGTATATTCTTCTATATCGTGTATGTAATGATTTATGTCCTTAAGATGGTAGAATCGTAACGAGGGTATCAAGTGTTTCAAATCTTGATAGTGAGAACCCTCTGATCACATATGGTGGCCATTCTAGAAACGTCCGTAGCCTTAGTATTATTCTGACCAAGGACATAGATAATACAGTAAGGCTATCATAGTGTTGAACGACCCTATTGAAAGGTAGTGACTGATCTCTGATAGTGTGCCGAATGCACCAAATTAATTAACCTTACTAACCTAACTACTAAATTGTATATAGGGTGAGCAAGGGTCAATCCCACAGGGAATGATTCGATTAATTCCTATATTCTATGCCAATAGCCACAATGAAAACAACAGAAAAATACTATAAAACCCTAAACAGTAAACAAGACAACAGAGTAACGAAAGGGGGTGTGATCAATGCAATCTAAACTGAAAACAAATAATGGTAGAAAATATCAGATTAAAAACACCAGTTCTCGATTCAGGATCCACCTAAACATGCATTGGACATACTAACTGTAACATTATTCTGTCTTGTTATTACTGTTTAGGGTTTTATTGTATTTTTCTTTTGTTTTCATTGTGGCTATTGGCATAGAATATAGGAATTAATCAAATCATTCCCTGTGGGATCGACCCTTGCTCACCCTATATAAAATTTAGTAGTTAGGTTAGTAAGGTTAATTGATTTGGTGCATTCGGCACGCTACCAAATTTTAGCGCCGTTGCCAGGGAGTGTTATTTGTCGATTTTTTTTCTTATGTTCTACGTTCTTTTGTTATTTCATTTAATCAGTGCTTAGTTGTGGTTTTTTTTTTTTTTTTTTTTTGGTTCAATTGTGATTTTTAGGTTTTTGAAGAAAAAAAAATGAACAGTAGTACTATTCAATCCTATTCCTAAGAGAAATTTTGGTTGAATTAGGAGCATTGCAAGTACTTACTTTGAAGAAAACGAAATTCTGGGCAAGACTAGAAATGATTTCTAGCCCCACCCTCTTGTCCTCAAATTCGATCATTTGATAGGGTTTTTGGCCAATTTTAGTTTCTATCAAGAAAAAAAAATTATTTTTTTATTTTTTGTATTATTAGTTTTTATTTATTTAGGCTTAATTTGGTGATTTTAGTGATTTATGACTCTATCCAATTCTACAGGAGAGTTGGAATTTGATCTAAAAATCGAACGCAGTTTACAGAAGTTGCGAAAAGAGGCAAGTCAAGCAAGTTCTTCATCTCCTGGTCTCAATATAGCCCTTGGTTCAGCGTCCCACAGTTCATCCAGTGATCCAGATTCAGAAATAGAAGAAGAGATGGCCGCTGGCAGAACATTAAAGGAGTTGGCTGCCCCTGATTTTAATCAGCAGCCTTTGTGTATTCAATACCCTACTTTAGATGTTGCTTTTAAACTTAAGTCTAGTCTAATTCACTTGTTGCCTACGTTTCGTGGTCGTGCAGGTGAAGATCCGAATAAACATCTAAAAAAGTTCCATGTAGTCTGTTCAAGCATGAAACCGACTGGGGTGACAGAGGAGTAGATTAAGTTGTGAGCTTTTCCCTTTTCGTTGGGGGATGATGCAAAGGATTGGCTCTATTATCTACCATCAGGGACAGTCGTAACATGGAACGAGATGAAAATGCTATTTTTAGAAAGATATTTCCCAGTCTCCAGAGCTGCCACCATCAGGAAAGAGATATGTGGTATAAGGCAATATAATGGGGAGACATTGTATGAATATTGGGAACGATTCAAGAAGCTATGTGCAAGCTGTCCTCGCCACCAGATAAGTGATCAGTTGTTAATCTAGTATCTCTATGAAGGATTGTTGCCTATGGAAAGAAACATGATAGATGCAACAAGTGGAGGTGCGTTGGTGGAATTTAACTCCTGAAACTGCTAAACTTTTAATCTCAAACATGGCTGCCAATTCCCAATAGTTTGGTACAAGACATGATGCATCACCCAAAAGGGTGAATGAGGTAAGTGTCTTCCATTGAACAACAACTATCTAATCTTACCTCTCTTGGTAGACAATTGGCTGTAAGGAAGGCACAACAGGTAAAAGCTTGTGGGATATGTTCGACAATGGGACACAAAACGGACATGTGCCCAACACTTCAAGAGAAAGGAGCTGAGCAGGTCAATGCAGCAGAAAACTTTCCTGGACCACCGAGGCAGTATGATCCTTACTCCAACACGTACAATCCAGGTTGGAGGGATCATCCAAATTTCAGTTATAGAGGAAATAGACAAGTAGGAGTTAGATAGAATTTCTTCCAGAATAGACAACAACAAGGTTTTCAACCAAAGCAACCTGCCTCACAGAATTCAAACTCATCCCTGGAAGATATAGTTAAGTCCCTTGCTTTGAATACCAAATAGTTTCAACAAGGTACAGGATCCAGTATTCAAAGTCTGGAGAATCATATGGGTCAAATGGCAATTGCTATAAGTCGTTTAGAGGCTCAAGTTGGAGGGAAGTTGTCTTCTCAAATAGTGGTGAATCCAAAGGAAAATGTGAAGGCAGTGACGCTAAGAAGTGGCAAGAAAGTGGAAGAACCAAAGCTGAACATTCCGAGTGTAGCAAAGGAAGAAGAAATTGAAGATGAAATTGAGAAAGAAGAGGCTACAACAGAATCAAAGGTAATTCCTAACCCTTCAATTCAACTTCAGTCTAATATTTTACCTTTTCCTAGCAAATTCACAAAGTCAAAGAAAGAAGAGAAGGATAAAGAGATTTTGGAGATGTTTTGCAAGGTGGAAGTGAATATACCTCTGATGGATGCAATTAAGCAAGTGCCAAGATATGCAAAATTTCTTAAGGAGCTATGCACCAATAAGCGGAAGCTAAACGGTGATGAGAAGATAATAATGGGAGAAAATGTGTCAGCAGTCTTCCAAAGAAAACTTCCTCCCAAGTGCAAGGATCCAGGTATGTTTACAATTCCTTGTAAGATAGGTAACACCAGAATTGAGAGAGCTATGTTAGATTTAGGAGCTTCGATTAATGTTATGCCATGATCTATTTATGCTTCATTAAATCTAGGTTCTGTAAAAGATATTGGTGTTATTATCCAATTGGCTGATCACACTAATGCATACCCTGAAGGGGTAGTTGAAGTTGTTCTTGTGCAGGTCAATGAGTTAGCATTTCTTACTGATTTCTACATTCTGGATATGGATGATTCTTCTTTTCCTGATCCTGCACCTATCTTACTGGGAAGACCATTGCTAAATACAGCTCGGACAAAAATAGATGTTCATGATGGTACCCTTACGATGGAATTTGATGGTGAAGTAATTCGTTTTAATATTTTTGATGCCATGGAGTTTGGCTAATGACTTTAACCAAAGGCGCTGCTTGGGAGGCAACCCAAGAATTCAGATTTGATTTTCTTTTCCTTTGAATTTAGTTTTTTTTAATTATTTTATTTGCCATATTTTTTTTTTATTTGTTTTATGTGCCTGTCTCTACATTTGGGGTTTTACATTGGGGACACTGTAAGTTTTACGTGTGGGGGAGAAGTTAGGCTGTAGGTGTAACGTTTGAAAAAAAAAAAAAAGCGTTTTTGTTTTTAGGAAGGTTTATGCTTTAAGTCATGTCTTTGAACGTCTAGTGATGCATGAAATAGTAACTTGACTTTGTTATTGAACATATTCCTTGACTTAGGATGTTAGCATCTTTCATAAAATAAAGTTAATCATATTTGAATCTTTGTAGTTTTGAAACAATATGTCTTGATAAGTTGTGTGAACTTGATGACGAAGCATGATTGAGGAGTGTATAACAACCCTTAAAAGGCAAAAAAAAAAAAAAAAAAAATTGTTTCTCTTAAGCTAGTCCTAAATTTGGGTTTAAGCAAACAGAAACAAAAAAAATTCAAAAAATAGAAAGGTATGTGGTGAGTCGAGATGGAGCGTAAAACGCACTCACTCATAAACACAACCATGAAATGAGATGGAGCATAAAATGCACTCATTTTTTTCAAAACAGAGGAAAAAAAAACAGAACAGAAAAAAAAGATAAGAAAAAATTTCTAGTTAAACAATTCAGCAGGCCATTACTAAATCACTCAAACAAAAAATTATACACAATTAAAACAGAATAACATAAACAATTCCAATAAAAACGAGATTGAGAATAATGTTACTGAAGTTAAGTTACACCAATGACATGAATTCAGGCTTCAAAATCCCCTTGAACTGAAGAAGAAAGATCAGCCGCACATCTTGACGTAGCAAGTAAAAGAAAACCCAAAAAAAAAAAAAAAAACTAAAAACTCCACTGCTGTTCTCCGTCCCCCTTTTTAACCTAACAAATCATCCATAAATAACATGTGTTTTCCTTAATTCTACCCCTGGAATCACGGAAATTACTTTCCTAGATCTTTGCTAAAAGATAGACTTCCAAAATTGTCAAAATCTTATCAAATATGGAAAACAGAATTTGTCTCCAACTTGCACCAGGATTCTCGCAATGTAAAAGAACTCTTCTGGGCTTGGTCACTTCATAAAAGTTGTAGTCCCAGATGTGTAGATGAATTTGGGCTTTTGAATCACCTGCTTTCGATATCTGAAACTCCAATTGGGCCCATTCGAAGACTCAACACTCAGCCAGGAATCCTTCCGCGACTAGGATTCCAAGTCCGGTTTTGCAACAACTAATGATTTCCCAAACGAACTCGGATTCTCGCCCATAATACCTTCCTGGAAAGCTTGATTTGTCTACTTTACTTTTTCTGAAGAAAACTTTTGCGAACGAGAAATCTGACTCTATGAAAAACCTGAAAAATGCAGCACTGGTCATAATAACAAAAAATCTGGAATTTCCTAATCTTTTCTCAATTATTTCCTAAAGTCTATCCAAATATGCCAAACTTATAAAATAAAATCTAATCAACTCAACGGCATAAAATATAACAAAAAACATAATATGGATGGAATAAAAAATATATAAATTACACTCTTATCAATCTCACTTGTCAAGGTTGTTTGCCGACAACCTGGTGCAACACATGGGTGCTTGCTAGAGGCAAGTTCACTGGACAAACCCACCAGAGGATTCCATATGGATAGTAACCCCAGTGTCTATAGAATAAATCCTCTAACGGATGGTGGTGCATGTGATCTTTAGACTTGAGATCACCGGAGTGCCTTGTGCACCAATGTAACATCCACTTTAAGGTACATCTTTGACTCATGTTCATTTGCTTTTAAATTTCATTTATTGGCCTAAGTTAAATGGACATGTTAATTAAGCTGTTAGAATGGTCTGGATGCCCTGATTTTGGTGAAGTCTTGCAGAATTTTTGGGAATGCAGACTTCGCCGCGGCGAAGAAAAAGTGTTGTTGCGGTGATGTACGCCCTGTATTTCTTCGCTAGGGTGAAGAAAGAAACTTCGCCGGGGCGAAGAACCAGCAGATTTTTCTAGTGAAGTTTCAAGAAAATTTTCCATAAGGGTAAAGTGGCCATTCTACCCCTAATTAGAAAGTAAAGTGGGGAGTGAATTGCAAAGAAATTTCATGGAGAATGTTTTAGAATGGGGGTGCAAGTGTAAAGAATTAAAGGATAAGGATGGAACTTTCAAGAAAGTGGAAGGGTAAAATGGGAAAGAAGGTTTAGTTTATGAGATATTAAGGGTTAGTCTTCTAAATCTCCTCATTTTCCTCAGTTCCACCGCCTCTTCATTCTCCATTTCCTCCCAACTCTTCACTCAATCTTCCAAGTATTTTTGAGGGCTTTTAGTTGGATCTTGATAGAGTTGTTCCTAAGCATCAAGAGGTAAGGATTCATGCTCTAGTATAAATTTAAGTTGAGTAAGTGTTGAGTTCTTATTAAGTTTATGTTTAAGAATTAAGAGAAGAAGCAAGTCTAACAAGTTAGAGAGCTTTTGTGGAAGAATTCAAGAGAAAGGTAAGTAAATCCAACCCAAGTTAAGATTTAAGCAATCAAATGACTTGATGTGTATTTATATGACTTGGTTTGTATTTATATACTTATAATTGTGAGATTGATTGCTAAGTTTGTAATTTTGGATGAGTTGTTGGGTTGATGAATGGTTGTTTTGAGCCATGAGAAGTGGAGTCAAGGTTGGGATGGCCAATGGAAGTTTGGCTAAATTTGAGAAGAAATTGAGTAGAGATTTTTGAAGTGCCTTCCCTTGACAGGTTTAGAATTATTATGGAGGATTTACTCCATATTGGATGGTCCAAGAAAGAAATAGAACTATAGTTAAAGTAGAGTCTAATTATGCATACTTATTGTTTGATAAAATGCTTGAGAGAAGCATATGCATGAGTAGAGAACTTATTTTTGTGCAACATTGCATATTTTCATTATAGATTGCACTAAAGAAAGAAACATAAGCATATACCATCCACATGTATATCTTTGCATATGCATGAGTAAGAAAGAATAAAGCATGCTAAGAATAAAGAGAAAGAAAGAAATAGCACTAAAGAATTTAAGAAAGAAAGTGCTAGAGAAAAAGGAAAGAATAGGTTGTTGTGATGGGGGAACTCGTGAGTGATAAGAAGAAAGTCCTACATACACGTCACCTTAATTGAGTGGCATAAGAAGAAGAAAGAAATCATACAACCCGTAAGAGTGTATGTGGATGAGGGTTGTACCAAGAAGAAAGTCCTACATGCACGTCACCTTAATTGAGTGGCTTAAGAATAAGAAAGAATTTGTACAGTCCGTAAGAGTGCATATAGATAAGGACTGTACTCACTCACATGGCCAGAGTTCCGAATCCATGCATCAATCGAGTCCGATCGGCATAAGAATAAGAATGAGAATGAGTAAGCTAGACTAAGAATAAGAATGAGAAAACTCAAGCATACAAGAAAAGAATAGCTTGAGTAAGAAAAGAAAAGAATAGAGAAGAAAGAAAGAAAATACATTTCTATGCATTATTGTGAGTGCATTGCATTCATGCACATTACCATGATGTTCATCATGGTGAGTAAGATTAGAAAGAACAGAAAGAAAAGAAAGAGAGAGTAGAAAGAATAGGAAGAATTAGAAAGAGAAGAAAAAGAACAGAAAGAATGAAGAAGAGTAAGATTAGAGTAAGGAAAGAACCAAGAATAAGTTGCGGGGATAAGTAGTAGAGGATTTGCTTACTGAGCCTTCTTGTGGTCACCCTGTTGTTTTTCCATGTTTTGTAGGAAATAGATAAGCGGCGTTCAGATGGACGTCACGGAGCAGAGAGAAAAGGCATCACTGTCCCTTATGTATAAGTCTTGTGTAGACTACTTTTGTATATGTAAAGAAATATTGTGTTTATAAATAAAAGAAAAATTTTGGGCCCAACCATATTTCATATACTATGTATGTATGTTTTTGAGTATATTAGTAAGTAAAAGAAGGTGTTACAACCAATTGGTGTAGTTTGACACTAGCCCAACATAGTTTTATTCAGAGCTATCCATACGATAGTGATTGGTTACATTAAGAAGTGTATCGAGACTATGGTGGATCAACAAAGGATTCATCACTCCTAGGTACAGGAGAAATTATCTCGCTAGATAATTCAGTAAATGGCAATGAAACTAAATATGTGGCCACAGTGGGATTGAGTTGATGCTCAATCCAATTTAATATTCCTGTCATTGGTCCAGTAACTGAATACAAACATGTCGAGGATATCTGAGGTTGACACTATTTCTGTACCTCAGTTTCAATGAGATAACAGTTGATGAAAGGATTTGATTACACAGTAACCATATCGTTGATAGGTTGTGATTTCGCTGAATCCGAATCTATCGGGTGGCCATGATGCCTTGCTAGGGGCCAATCTTGGTCTATGTGTATTGAGACAATTAATTGGTGTTAATCGCGATACTACACACTACTGATATGATGAGGAGCCTACGGGTCACACACTTAGAAGATAATTTAAGAATCAATTTGTGAGAAGGGTATCTTCGTCTTTTAGGATGAAAGGGTGTTTTGGTAATCTCACAATGCAATTAAATTTGCTGAAGTTGTTGCCTGTATTTAATTTTAATATTAAAATTAAATTAGTGAGATTATATTTAAATATATCTCTGTATATATTTAAGTGAATTATTATTATTAATTAAATATTAATATATTATTATATATTAATTGATTTTAATTATAATAATAGTTAGTTAATTAAAATACCATAAAAGGTGTGTTTGGTTGCAAGGGTAAACTAGGGTTGGAGCCCATGGCTACTCCTAAGCGGAATAGGGTTTTAATTGTTGCATTGTATAAGTGCAACTTAAAATTAAAACATAGGTGAATTATTCATTCAATTAAAACCCTAGCCACCCTATCTCTCTCTCTCTCAAGAAGAAAACTTTTC